AAAAGAGTTCAAAACCTATATGCTTGCAATATGTTAAATCATTTTTTCTCTTTTCAGCTCTACTTTCCTACTTTTCTCTTACACTCTACATGTAACCTACATACATTTCTATTCAGGAGGTTGTTTTGTGGCAGGTGCACTAAGTGCATTAGATTCCCTCTTGCACCCCTCCCCAAACTATTAAGCCAATGGAGATCCTTTTACCCTTCACATGCATGCATTCCACATGTGGAAGCCACAGGGTAAACAGATGAAATTAAATTAAACTGGAAAAGGTAGCCCAAGAAAACAATGCAAGCAAACTCAGAGAGTACCAAGGACCCCTCATTTCAACCCTGAGCTACAAATATTCTCCTTTAAAAGGTAGCTCATGCATAACAGAGTTCCATTTTCACCTTCTTCCATTACTTTCCTTGCATAGGCCTATCTCTAGCATCTTTTAAATTTATTTAAATGTAATCATCACCTCTGGAGATTTTACCTGATCCCTGTATCTAATTACAATATTGTCATGGCACAGCATCTTTGCCATTCAACAAGCTTTAACCTTTCTCATAGGAATAGTTTCACTATATTCAAGATTTAATTTAGGTTATGACATGTCCCTAAACAGACATTTGTCATATTGGGACTCTGTTATGAAGTTGCATGGTAGAAGGCACCTCTGTATAAATCCAAGATCATCTCTGCTGCCCTGAAACAAGGTAGCCTGGTATTTGAGTTGCACAAATCCTAGACATGCAGTTTGCATCAACTGCAAATTAGTATGGAGAAGAGCAACAAAGATTATTAGGGGATTGGATGCTAAAATGTATGAAGAATTGTTACAGGAATTGGGTATGTTTAGATTAATCAAAAGAAGGACTAGGGGTGACATTATAGCAGTGTTCCAATGTTTGAGGGGCTGCCACAAAGAAGGAGGGTCAACCTATTCTCCAAAGCCTCCAAAGGCTGGGACCAGAAGCAATGGATGAAAACTATTCAAGGAGAGAACCAACATAGAACTAAGGAGAA